GTGACATTTAAAGTGAGTGACATTTAAAAATAATTACTAGCTGCTGTGTGGAGAACGTATCATTTAAGAGTAACCACAGGGGTCCCTGCTAGGAAGCAGTTGCAGGAGATTGCATAAGACAAAGTGGTATTATGGACTAGGGTACTGGTGCTGGTGGGTGCTTAGATTTAGAGTGTATTTTGAACATAGATCAATGGTGTAAGATTGTAGGTTGGTGTTAAATACCTATGTAATTTTTCTTTGTAAGATATTTTAGGATGCCTGCCATGTTAAGTGTATTTCTATTGTAACTATCATTTCAAAGGAAATAAATCATATTTCCTTAGCATAATTTACCAAAAATGGCATTACTGTGTCAAATGCTATGAGCATTTGTGTGGTTCTTGATAACTACTGGAATTGCTTTCCAAAAGGATTGTGCCTGTTTATTGTATCACTATAAATGTTTAAGTTCTATCTATGATTAGCTTCTGCCAGCATAGTATATTTCATTTAGAAAAGGTTTTGTTTTTAGTACTTACATAAGCATAACAATAGTACTGTAACTGAGAGCGAGAGAAAATATATGGAATAACTTTCTTCCATTTAATATTTTATTATGTTGAGTTAAAGTGACTTTATTTTATCCTAGTTTCCAAAGGATGTTAGTAATCTGTGTACCTGATCTAAAAGTTTATTTGTATTTGAATGGCTGGACATAATACTAATTAAGAATGTTAGGTTTTGATCCTTTTCTTGCTCTATTCCTAACTAGTTTCTTTTTAGAATCTGTGGTTTTTAAAATTGGTTGGACTTGAATAACCTGTACTTTCTCAGGGTGATGGTTTATATTTTAAGTATAAAAGGAATAAATAATATGCATTGAGAATACTTCATACTTGTGAAAAGGCATTTTATTAGCATGGAGCAGGATTGGCAAACTTTTCTATAAAGAGCCATATGGGTCTGTCACATAATCTTTGTTTTATTTTTAAATAACCATTTAAAAACGTAAAAACTATTCTTAGTTCATGAGCCAGACAAAAACAGGTGGACAGGATTTAGCCTGTGAGCAATAGTTTGCTGAACTCTTATTTAGACTCTAGTCTTGGGAAAGACCTTACACTGATGACTAAATTTTTTTCTACTTCCATATATTTCTTCCTAATGTCTAACCTGAAGTTGGAACAGAATCTTTAGTATTTATATACTGTTTTTGTTGTGCTTGTTTTCTGCTTTGTTTTTAAACCTGTCAGTTCTTTTTTTCAGATCATGCTTTGCCTTTTAACATCTTTGTTCTTAAGTTTTTACCAAGTGGCACTGCCTTTTTATATAGCTCAGTGACTACTTAAAATTAACTTTGGAAATAATGAAGTTTTAACCTTCACCTATTATTTTTAATCAGATTCTACTCATTGTTTTTATGTAGGTTGTAGATTACTTTTTTCAATAACTGAATATGACACAGAATTTAGCTGTTAATTATTTTAGGTTTTAGAAGGGAAAAAGTCATAGGAATGAGATAATGGGTGAATAGGGCGGGGCTGCTTTCCCAGTCCTTTCGATGAAATATTCATCATGGAAATGTGTTATGAAATACATAAAGAAACTACAAATATGCCACATTAAATACTTTTGAAACACAAAGTATTTGAAAATTCTATAAATGGGACTTTATTGAGCTACATTTTGGAGGCATTATATATGTGGGCAGATGGTGAGTAATCTCCCAGCCACACCTTAGGTCTAGACTTGTGTGGCTCCAGTCTTTTAATTTTATTGTTGGTAAAACATTTTATATTTAAAGACTAAGGAAACTATCAGCTCTAAGGTTAACTTAGGTTAGTATTGGTAAGTGAAGAACGTGAGGTGACAGCAACAGGCAAGGAAATCTTTTTGATCTCTAGCCATACCTGGGTAATGAATGGGTTGATTCTAAGACACTGTACTTTGCTCTCAATTCCTGCTCTTTATTATACTTCAAAAACACTGGTTTTTAACATATTATGGGAGTTCTTTCAAGTAGTTAATTAAGGGAGTAGGCGAAAATAATAAAATGTCAACCAAATGTTTGAATTTTTAGTAAAGAGCTTCCGGCTTAGAAAATAAATATCCATCCTTTTTTTCTGACTGGTGAAATAATTTTTATTATAGACAGTATGGAAAATGCAGTTTACTTTAAAAGATAAGCATTAGATCATAGTCTAACATGGTAGTCTTTCACACTTTTAAAAATGAAAAGCCACAGAAGGAATACATTTAATAGCATCGAGTACAAAAAAAGATAACAGCCTTTATTGACATTTTTATGTAATACCATAAGTTTTTTTTTTAATATATTTTATTGATTTTTCACAGAGAGGAAGAGAGAGGGATAGAGAGTTAGAAACATTGATGAGAGAGAAACATCGATCAGCTGCCTCTTGCACACCTCCTACTGGGGATGTGCCTGCAACCAAGGTACATGCCCTTGGCCGGAATCGAACCTGGGACCTTTCAGTCCGCAGGCCGACGCAGTATCCACTGAGCCAAACCGGTCAGGGCAATACCATAAGTTTTTAAATATATGTATGGGTACAGCTATACTGATATATACATATATTTTATTGGGATCATGTTACATATGCAGGGTGGGCAAAAGTAGGTTTACAGTTCATATGGAAAATGATACAAAAATAAATAATTCCAGAATAAACTTGCACACTGACAACTTTACACCTACCTTTGCCCATCCCTGAGATATATGTCTGTATTCTACTGTGAACATTTAAAAAATATTTTATCAAAAACATGACCATTAATGACCATTCTCTTTTTTAATGATGGAATGGTCTATAAAGTAATTCATCAAATAAAGACACTTTAGTGTTAAGCCCTCATGTAGAACAATAAGAAACAGTGCCCTTGGTGTATACTTTATACCTATCATCAGCCTGCCTCTTATTCCATGACTGCATATTGTACCATTCCATTTTCCTTATTTATTTATTCATTCATTCATTCATTCATTCATTCATTCGGCTTATTTTGGCAGAGAGTGTGTGAAATCCTTTAGGCATGAGTATAAATCAAAAGTCAAAGAAAATCAGATTTTCATTTTAAGATTCTGTTGATGTTACCCACCCCCTTTCCTTACTCAATCTTAGTGTTGCCTAGGTTTTTTAAGGTATCCATCTATTCTCCCCCACAGAATTTGCCGATAGAAGTTGTATTCATTAGAGTTATCATAATATCCACCTGGCTGTGAGATATTGTTCCCAGGATTTCAGAAATGGATAAGGGCATTAAATCCTCAGTGTAGACCATTTTCTTTGTATTCCTTTGACTATAAGTAAAATAGATGCATGACGTTTATTTGTAAGCTGATTGATTTTTTTTTCTTGCCATCTAAACCATCCTGAATAACAGAGGTGGTAGAGCTATCCCATTTTTGTAAAAACTATTTTTTATAGGAGTTTGGGTCTTTTTATTACTAATATGTGCGCTTCCATTGTTGAATCTCTTTGTAACAGCCTTTTAAAAATTGTGGTAATATATATAACATAAGATTTACTATTGCAGCCATTTTTAAGTGTACAATTCGGTGACATGAAGTAAATTCACAGTGTTGGGCAGCCATTAATTCTGTTTTCATTATCCCAAACTAAAACTCTGCATCTGCTGGACAATAACTCTCTAACCCCTCCTGCCCCAGACTCAGGTGACCCCTATTCTACTTTTTGTCTCTGTGACTTGACTTATTTTAGGTACCTCATGTAAGTGAAATAATAGTTATTTGTCTTTTTGTGTCTGGCTTATTTCACTTAGCCTACTGTTTTCAAGGTTCACCCATGTTGTACCATGTATCAGAATTTTCATTTTTATGACTGAGTAATATTTTATTGTATTTATATATCACATTTTGTTTATCTACTCATCCTATATAATAAAAGCCTAATATGCTAAGTGCCCGGTCATCCAGTAACCTGTTGACTGTTAAGACAATCAAAGCGTAATATGCTAATGATATGCTAAGGCTGCTCAACCGCTTGCTATGACATGCACTGAGCACCAGGGGGCAGACACTCCGACTGGTAGATTAGCTTGCTGCTGGGGTCTGGCTGATTGGGACTGGGCGAGATGGGGCTGGACATGCCCTGGAGCCCTCTCACAGTCCCTCCCCGGCCAGATCGTGCATTGGTGGGGTCCCTCGGCCTGGCCTGCACCCTCTCGCAATCCAGGACCCCTTGGGGGATGACGGGGAGCCAGTTTCAGCCCAATCCCACAGGCCACTCCCCTCGGGAGGGCGCCAGATGCCGGGCTCATGGCTGGCGAGTGCTGCTGTTGCGGTGGCGGCACGCAAGCCTCTCCCAATTGGAACTGATTGGACACGAGCCCGCAGCAGGCGCAGTGGGGCCGGGATTAGCGAAAGCAGCAGATAGGAGCTGCAGGCGGCATTGGACTGCGGGTTTCGACCCGATCCCCACAGGCCACCCCGAGGGACCCCACTCATGCACGAATTTGTGCACCAGGCCTCTGGTCTGTTAATAAACACTTGAGTTGTTTCTACATCTTGGCTATTGTAAATAATGTTGCTGTGATTCCCTGCTTTCAATGCTTTTGGTTATATACCAAGGATTGGAATTACTGGATCATATGGTAATCTTATGTTTTACTTTTTGAGGAACTACCAAATTGTTTTCCACAATGGCTGCACCATTTTACTTTCCCACCAGTGGTGGCCAGGGATCTAGTTTCTTCACATCCTTGCTAACACTTATTATTTTACTTTAAAAAAAAAAAATAATAGCCATTCTAATGGCTGTGAAGCTGTAACTCATTGTGGTTTTGATATGCATTTCCCTGATGATGTTGAACATATTTCCCTATGCATATTGGTCATTTGTCTATCTTTTTTTGGAGAGAGGTCTATTCAAGTCATTTGCCCAGTTGTGACAGATTCTTTTTCTTGAGTTGTGTCTAACACTTTTTTAAAAGTAAAAGGTATCGTAATAATCTAGACTGTGTTTCTCCCTTCTCAGGATTCCTACAGGAAACAAGTAGTAATTGATGGAGAAACCTGTCTCTTGGATATTCTCGACACAGCAGGTCAAGAGGAGTACAGTGCAATGAGGGACCAGTACATGAGGACTGGGGAGGGCTTTCTTTGTGTATTTGCCATAAATAATACTAAATCATTTGAAGATATTCACCATTATAGGTGGGTTTAAATTGAACATAGTAAATTGACATTGAGGACTAATTGTATCTTCCATTTATTGAATCTTCGCTAATCACCATACATAAATTATCTAATTTAAATTTTAGAATAATTATGAGGTAGGTAATATCCCTGTTTTATAGATGAAGTTCTTGAGAATTAGGTAAATTGAGTAACTTGTTCCAGCTTGCATAGGTGGTGGTGCTGGGATTGGAACCTAGGCCTGTTTGACTCCAAAAACTGTGCTTTTAACCACTCTACACCAGGGAAACAAGGCTGTAAGCTAGAGCTATCATAAAAATGAAAACCATCAACAAAAAAATAGGAAAATGTAATTGAGGCAGTGTCACTTAAGTAGCCTTAAAAATAATCAAGTATATTTAGTGTAGAATTTCTTGGAATTGGATATTAGCTATTTAAGAGGAGGAAAACACACCCACAACTTTAAAGTTGTAAAAGACAGGTATTAGAACAATTACAGTTTTTAAAGAAACTGATAAATCAGCCTAAAACTGACTTTTTTTTTTTTTAAAGATAATCACTATTAAGTATAGTTTATATTGTTTCTTTGAGGATTTACAGTTTTCATAAAACTACATCTTCAGCAAATATCCCATTCATTGGTTATGTTTTAACAGCGAGTTAGCCTAGTTAAGAGGTTTAACATTTCTTACAGCATGCTTTCTCTATAGTCTAGTAATACAGGAAAAGAAATTTGGGTGGTTGGTAATATTTTTGTAGAAAAATTGACGTTTTATTTCATGCTGCATCTTTGAAATTCACTTAAAATTTTGAAGGAATTTAACTTTACCACAAATTTTAGAGTTTATGCACATCTTATTGGAAAAGGAGGACTTTTACGGAATAAACAGGGTAGTACACATAGAAATAAAAATCTTTCCACTTGTTGCTCTTTTTTGTGAGAAAAATGTGAAAATTAATGTTATAATTCATGGTTTTATAAAAACATTTTTAATTCTATACAAACATTTAACAGCTTATAGAATATATGTTTCTAAGATTATAATTTTAAAAATTAGGCATACCTTTTTTGTTGTCTAGAATTTTCAATATTTTCTGTTTTTTCATGTGACCTAACTGCTTATATGAACCTTATTAGATTGTAGTTTTAGTATATTTCTAGGTATTAGATCTTGTAAGAGACATAGAAGTTCTCTCTTTAAGATGGAGAAAAACAATACTGGAAAGGAGAAACAAAATTTGGTGTGATGGGAAAAAAGGAATTAAATTAAAAGTCTTCGTTAGGCCATATTTTATAAGAAAAGGTGTGTCCAATTTTTGTATTTCTAATACCTGTCATGCAACTTTTTTTTTCCTCCCCAGAGAACAAATAAAAAGAGTTAAAGACTCTGAAGATGTACCTATGGTCCTAGTAGGAAATAAATGTGATTTGCCTTCTAGAACAGTAGACACAAAACAGGCTCAGGACTTAGCAAGAAGTTACGGAATTCCTTTTATTGAAACATCAGCAAAGACAAGACAGGTAGGTAAAACTGTAATAAATACAAGTCTATTCTCTTATCTGTATCAAGTGATTTTAATTAACCATAGTATACTAATATATCTCCTAATAACATCATTTTGGGGGCAGGAAGGCTAAACATAAATAAATGTACATACCTGAGAGCATAACTATTTTATTATTGAGTGTAATTTATCAGTTTTTCCTACTGCTATACTAAAATAGGAAGTAAAACTAATTATTTGGAAAATGCTCCTTTAAGGATATGAAAGGGCAGTCCTTCTTAATCCAGTCTCCATGCTATTACTTTTGGCTTTGGTTTCTTTCCACATGGAACATTCTCTTCAACTCAGCACATCTTACATTCAAGAAATGTGGGGATTTTTTATTTATTATTATTTTTTTTGCTGTGATGTTTATAAAATGAAAGAACAGGGGAACAAATATTGAGTTCCCTGTTTTGGAAGTGCTTTTAAGAGTCTTATGTCATATGTTTCTAGATTAAATTTTGTTGTATTTGAAGTATTTTACTTTGGTAGAGTTTTTGTAAGGATATATTTTAGGAGAAAGTTTTCAGTAAAGCAAGAGACTATTTAGAAAATAAATAGAAATTTGCAGTTATTCATTTACTGGGTTGTTCTGACAAACATTAATGCTAGTTTGATCTTTTATTTTTAAAATTACCTATAATTTATTTATTAGTTTATTAATTTTTTTGTTAATCCTCATCCTGAGATATATTTTCCATCGATTTTTAGAAAGGGTGGGAGGGAGGAAGGAGGAGAGGGAGAGGCAGAGGGAGGAGGGGGAGAGAGAGAGGAGGGAGAGGGAGAGGGAGAGGGAGAGGGAGAGGGAGAGAGAAACATCGATGTGAAAATGAGACATGGGTTGGTTGCCTCTTGCACACACCCTGACTGGGGCCGGAATCAAACCTGCAATCCAGATATGTGCCCTTGATCAGGAATCGAACCCATGACCCTCTGGTGCTTGGGCTGATGCTCTAACCACTGACAAACACTGGCCAGGGCCAAAAATTACCTAAATTTTAAAAGTAACTTTTCTCTAGGTAAAATAAAATAATTTCAGTGTATTATTTAACCTTACCTGTATGAAATAAAGAGCTTAATGTATTAAAAGGTCCTATTTTAAGTCTTTGATTTATAAGTTAAAGAAAGACTTGATAGACACTTGATATACAGCACTACACTTTACTTTAGAGAAATTAAGATCTTATTCACATTGCTTCCCAGGTCCAGAGGCTGGGAAGAAGTTTGGTTTTTGTCTTCTTTTTATTGATTGTCTCTGACTGGATTCCTTGTTTTCAGTTAGAGGGAAGGTACTCAAAAAACATGATTATAATATTCATAACTTTTTCCCCATCATTTTCTTTTGAAAAATTTACAAATATAAAATTAAAGGAATTTTATTAAAAACACTTGCAAACCTACTACCATTAACAATTTATTAACAAATATTGAGTTCCCTGTAGTGGTTTGCACTAGTTGTAACTTTTAAAAGATACTTTTTGAACTAGTTAACATTTTAGTTTAAATTTTATAAAGAAAAAAACCTGGGAGACTGCCTAATGTAAAGAATTGCAAATAGAGCAGTGTTTCTCATACTTTAATATGCATAGGAATCAACTGGGGTGTTTATTCAAATCTAGATTCTAATTCAGTGGGTCTAGGTTGGGACCTGTGATTCTGAGTATATCCAGCTGACTCTCAGGTGATGCTAACTTTGGTACCTGCACTGTAGTTGTAGTAGAAAGGCAATAGAAGACAGTAAAAGGAAGTCTTATTATACCCACAATGCTGCCTTCCACTTCTCATTTGATGACCCTAAAATAACTGTCTTCTTTCTTTGTTCTGTGGTTACTATTTCAGAAGTATTAGTTCATTCTTAGAGTTTGATATTAGTGCTTTAATATACCACAGCATTCATAATTAATCAGAAAACTACCTGGTTTCCTTTTAAAATAGATTTTTAGGCTTTATGCTATTTTTGAGGGGGGGAGAAAGGTAAGGAAGTTGTATGTAGTGTTTTTGATATGGAGGTGGATTAACTTAAATTTGCTTTGTAGACATTTATGTGGATCATCTAATGAAAATATAGAGTGATGTAAAGGAATTCTTTACTTCTTAACCTTCTAGTGCTCACCTTATATTTATATACTGTTTTATTGGTATCTTTATATAATTTATGTTGCTAAACTATAACAGATATTTAGTTTCTGATCTTTATTACATAGACTTGTTGATTTGCCTTTCAGAAGTTTATTCATCTTCTTCTGTTTAAATTAATTTGATATTTGCATGCTTTTGGAAGACTTTATAAAGCTCTATTCAAGTACTAATTGTGGAAATTATAAAATGAAATGTAAATCTTATAAATTTTGTATCCATTTTTTTGTGTGAAAATTTGAAGCCCTATTTTCTGCAGAGTATTTTATTTGTTGCTTATTTGCTATTATTTGTTATTTGAACAAAATAAATTTGAATATCCTTGTTGTATTTTATAACAACTACTAATTTTCATGCCCTAGATCTTGGCCTTGAGCAGAAACCTAAAACAAACACCAAAAAGCATTATATTTAAGGTAGTAGGAACAGGACATTCATTTAGAGCTTCTCATACAACAGGGGCTGGCACAATTTCTCTGTTCAGGGCCAGATAATAAGCATTGTGAGCCACAAGCGGTATCTGTTGCATTTTTTCTCTTATGTAACCCTTTAAAAATGCAAAAATCATTCTTAGCTTTTGGGCAGTACAAAGAAAGAATGTGGCTACATTTGGCCTTCTGGTTGTAGTGTATTGATGCCCAAATTCTTCGGGGAACTGTATTGTTTGGTTATACATTAGAAGTTAGGGCAGACTTTTCAACTTAAAATTACTAATGTTAGCCTGTAAAAATCTGAAGTAAAACATGCATTCTGTGAAAGGGAAGTAGGAAGGGGGAAAACAGGGAAATTTCTCCTAATATTTCTTTAAGATAAGGGTTGCAGAATATATATTTCATCAACTTTAAAATGCCCACTATATGGCTAGGGTATAGTGAATTATATTTCTTTACAATCATTTTAATCCACATCTGAAAGGCTAAAGGAATGTTTATTTTCTGCTAGTGTGCATTGTGTGTGGTTCCCATGCTCCTACTGTGTAAAGACTGCTACTTGGTTTACATTTATCTGGGCAGTTAGCAGTTGCCAGATTTTCCTGGCTTCTTTGGGCAGTGAATGGCAGTGTGGGCAAAGGCTGTTGAAACCAAAACATTGACACCGTGCTAGTCAGCTGTGTGTTTTCCAGTATGCTACAATCAAAAGTGGGAGGTTCAGTAAAGTGGATGACAGAAGCAGAAGTCTCAGCATATTTGCTACTCCTGATTCAGTGTTTTTTTTGTTTGTTTGTGGTTTTGTGGGGGGTTTTTTTTTTTTTGCTTTCTGGAGGTCTCAATTTGAGCAAAATGTGAAAATTAGTTTTATGAACTTAAAAATGTTGAGTGATCCTGGTTTTTATTGGTAATTTCTGGATACTGAAAATTAGTTGTTTTAAGACCTGCATTAAAGAAAGTTTTTGATCAAATCATTTTAACAAAACAAACCAAACAAAAAACCTTATGTACCATACTTTTGTTTATTAGTAGTTGAATTTGTGTACATGAGGTCAATATTTTGAACTTTAGCTTTTTATGAGTTAAAAATAGAACAGTTACTGAGCACCTCCGGTACGCCATATTTAGCTTCTTGATTAGTGGTATTACTGCATTTCAGTTTTCAAGGCTGTAGTTTGCAAAGTTTTTTGAGAAATTTGGCAATGCACAGTTCCTTTTCAGAACACACCTTGTTCCTCCCGTTCCTCTCCCCCTAAGAAGGCTAATATCTTGCATGTTACTATAATTAGGGTGATAGAATGTTATTTCCTTGAGTTTGCAAGAATTTTTGCAGGTAATAAGCCATTCAAATACTAGCTTAAAATGAAATCTTAGTTGAAAGTATTATAGACCCTAGGATATGGAATGATGCTATTAACAGTTCTTTAGTATGGAGTACTCTATTGCCTTAGTCTCACAAGTATGTTTTCAGATAGTAGCTGAGCTGAAAATATTGTGAAATATCTTGCCTTTTCAAAAATATTTACATGTATAAACTTGTACACATTTGTTCCTTCATAAATATTCCCATTCTTAATGAACTTAAAAATGTTGAGTGATCCTGGTTTTTATTGGTAATTTCTGGATACTGAAAATTAGTTGTTATAAGACCTCCATTAAAGAAAGTTTAATTATTAAGTGCCAGTTAATGCTTAGCAACTAGCCACAGTTGGGTATTGAATGTTCAGCTATAATTTCTTTAAAAATTACCTACAAATTTTGGAATGTGAAACCATTGTTCTGTGTCAATGCCAGTGGTTTAAGGTGCATAAAGGATAAATAATAATCACTGGATGTCAGTATGACCTTAAAGCATATAACCAAGAAATAAGAAGTATTTAAATCTGAGAAAATATGGTAAATAACTGATTCCTTAAAATACAATTTAAATTTTCTATTAGTCACATTTAATGAAAAAGTCATTTTGGAATAACTGTTTTTCTGTGTTAATCATTTTAGCAACTGAGGTGCTAATACTGAATATTTTGGTGGTGGGTAGTAATCTCTTCTTTTTAATCATTGGCTTCCAATTCTCTCTCTGCATTGCTGGAAACAAAATTATATATTCTGGTATTGGTGATGGGGATGTGCACACTTATAAAGTAGACTCTTTCAAACTGATTTTAGAAATAAGTTACAATCAAACTTTGCTTCTGCTAAATTAGTAGAGGACCAAAACCCTGTTTTTCTCCTCTCATAAAATGTTTGAGTACCTCTACATTGACCTTGTAACTTTTAAAAACAGGAGTAGTAAATCTACATTCTTAACAAATATGAGCTTTTACCTGGTTTGTTTTATTTATATATATGTATATTTTTAAATTCTTGCATTAATTTTCAAATTTAAGAAGTATTTTTATGATTTAAAAATAGAATAGTTACTGAGCAGATTTAAAAAGTATGTGAAAATATATTAAATGCTAGCTCATGCTTTACATTTTATGTGCTCTACAAAAGTCATTTTAATGCCTTAAATTATTTATATTATTTAGCAGTGAGAATTTCTAATATATAATTTTTTAAGGACTTAGGAGTAAAAGTAAATCCTCTCCTTGAGAAATAATGGTAAATATAAAATATTAAAAATTTTATATATAGGTACAAGTGGTAATGTAATTTAAAGTACAACATATTTAATGATTTCAGAAAATTATTGGATATTTTTATTTTGTAGTTAGCTAGTGGTTGATTAAATTGATTCCATTAAAAATAAGGTACACATTTTCTAGGGCTATAGTGATTTTTATATTAGATAGCTGAATAGAAATATAAGTAACTTTTGAGATGTACATTTTAATATATAATCAAAATATTATTTAAATGCCCACTTAACTGAAACTTAATTTTATGAATTTTAAGTTAAAGTTTTACTTTAATGGTAAATTACCAACTCTACCAAAGCAGTTGATATATTTTTAAGATAAAAATTAGTGAATTGAGGTACCTTCTTTTCCTTTATTACAAGCAATGGATATGCAGTGACTTTGGCATAAAGAAATTAAGCCTTACCTGTCAGTTTACTACAATTAATACTAAAATTATTTAATTTAAAACTACAAATCATACATTTGGCATGTATTAGCTTATTTATTTATTTATTTATTTATTTATAAATATATTTTATTGATTTTTTACAGAGAGGAAGGGAAAGGGATAGAGAGTTAGAAACATCAATGAGAGAGAAACATCGATCAGCTGCCTCCTGCACACTCCCCACTGGGTAGGTGCCCACAACCAAGGTACATGCCCCCTACCGGAATCGAACCTGGGATCCTTGAGTCTGCAGGCTGATGCTCTATCCACTGAGCCAAACTGGTTGGGCTGTATTAACTTATTAGGTGTTAAGTCCACTTGGTCACATTTGGTTCATAGAAAGACTAATATTACCAGTTTTAGAGAGTTAAAATATTCCAATCTCCATAGTAATTCAATCTCAAAAATTAAAATAAAAAAAAACCAGTAAGCTTGAAGTTAAATGTGCAATAAAGCAGACCAGCTTTCTTAAACACTTCATTCTTTGAGAAGACTACACACAAGTATTACATCTTTTAAGTTAATTTGCACTACATGTAAATGAATATTTGTGTGAGTTTCTCTTTTAGATGTAAGCTTCTGCTTTGATGATATATTTTTCAGGACAAAGCAGCAGTACAGTTAACTAAACACTTTGTCCCACTTGGCTATTGCGTAATTTTCTGGACTGGAAAATATATTGTTGATCTCCATATATAATTGTGTTTGTCGCCATAATTTTCTTCCCATAGCCTTAAGCAGAGGTCCCTTTCTCTTATTTAGAATATTTGAATTAGAATGCTAGAAAGGATAAGGTCAGTATAACTGGATAATGTTCTAGAAATTATTTTTAAGACTTATAAAGATACAGAATGCACTGCTGCTGTTTTTTGTGTATCTTAAACAATTCGCAATGTTTAGAATTTAAATAATGTAGTTATCCATCCACAAAAGTCCCAGTTTCAGCTTCACTTGTCCATCTTAGAATTTCAATGGACAATGTTGTAATTGAAGATAGAACTCAAGATTCCAGTCTCTTGACCTGACTGTATTTTGAGGTGTGTGTGGGGTGGTTTCTTTTTTAAGAAAAACACAAAGGTTAAAATCCTTTTTGTACCACTTTTCTCCTCCCCATCTGGGTTGGAGTGGGAGGGGTGGGGGTCAGTGCTATATAAAACATTTGTTTTCCCTAAGTCAAAGAAATAATTTAAATCTAACTTTAGGTTTTGATTAATTCTGATTTAGTTTAACAAACTAAAATGATTGCACTAATACCTGTACTTAAGTTTTTCAGAATCTCCCCTAATTGCTAATTTGAATTTTCTAAAAAAAAAATCTAATCACATTACAAAACAAAACTGACTTTAAAGAACAAACCAGGATTCAAGCCATATTTTAAAATTGCATCCCCAGTTTTATTCAAGCAATCTGATGTCTGTTTTAAAAAGAAATTTTTAAGAAAAGCTCATAATTTCAAACTTCTTGCACATGGCTGTCCCAATAAATTACTATTACCAATGAAACAGACTTTAAAGAAGTTGTGTTTTACAATGCAGAGAGTGGAGGATGCTTTTTATACATTGGTGAGAGAGATCCGACAATACAGATTGAAAAAAATCAGCAAAGAAGAAAAGACTCCTGGCTGTGTGAAAATTAAAAAATGCATTATAATGTAATCTGGTAAGTTCAGCATATTAATTTTGGCAGAAAGTAGATGTCTTTTAAAAGTAACAAAGGAGCAACCACTTTAGGACTACCTAGTTGTGGGCTTTTAATTTGAAATATTAAAAGACACCTCACGGGAGGAGGGTAGAGGGGTGGATAAAAAATGTGAAGGGGAATGAGAGGTAAAAGAAGAAATTAAAAAAAATTTTCTTGGAAGAATTCAAAGTAAAAAAATGTATCTTTTCTTGAAAAAAAAAGAACCGTGTGGTATGTTTCCATAATTAGTATATTGGAATTTTTAGTTTAATGGGTTTTAATTATAATTGAGGCAGTTTTGATTGCTATAGACTACATTTGTCACAGGGTCTAGGAAGAAAAAAGTAGAAGAAACTATATAGAGTTTATAATAAGGTTGAATGTCCCAGAAGGTAGAAGCCCTTTGCTAATAATTCTACTCACTGGCATCAACATCTTTTTTCACCCAAGTTAGAAACTGGGAAGTCTTCAGGTGACTCCTGCTTCCTTCCTTTTACCCCCATTTGGAGACAACCACAAATTCCGATGATGTTACATTCTAACTTTTACCACATCATTAGTTCAGTCCCCTTTCATTTCCTGCTGGGACTGTTATAACCTCTTATATGGTTTACCTGTTGCTGTTTTCATTCATGGTGCAACCAGAGAGATACAGTGGGGCCTTGACTTATGAGTTTAATTCGTTCCGAGACTGAGCTTGTTAAGGAGCTCATTAACTCAAATTACTCTATCAACTCAATGCAAAAAATCGGCCAAGAGACAGCTGATATCTCAAAAAACTCGTTAGTTGGGACACTCGTAAGTCAAGGCCCCACTGTATACTTAAATATCACTCTCTTATTTTCAAATCCAGTCTCTGACTTCCTATTAACTATGGAATAAAATCTCAAATTTCATAACATCCTATATAATAAAAGGCTAATATGCAAATTGACCAAACAGCAGAACAACCGGTTGCTATGATGTGCACTGGCCACCAGGGGGCAGACAATCAGTGCAAGAGCTGCCCCCTGGTGGTAAGTGCACTCCCACAGGGGGATCACCACTCAGCTAGAAGCTGGGCGAGCGCAGCAGCAGTGGCGGGAGCCTCTCCCGTCTCCACGGCAGCACTAAGGATGTCCGACTGCCAGCGGAGAGCGGGCCTAAGCCATCAGTCAGACATCCCCTGAGGGCTCCTGGACTGTGAGAGGGCACAGGCTGGGCTTAGGGACCCCCCTGAGTGCACCGGGCCTCTAGTGTTATATATGGCTCTTCACTCCTTCCTACCCCTAGCATTATCTCGAAAAACTCCTTGGAAATTACTTTGTCCTTATATAAATGAACACCATGTATTTTCTTACTGTCCCTTGAGTCTTAACTGTTGCTCTTGTTTGGAATACTAGTATTCTTATCCCCTAGTCTTATAAATTAGGTAGTACTTTTTTGTGATTCTGTAATCTGTCTTCTAAGAATCTTTCTTTAAACCTTTAGACTAAGCATAATGCCCTTCCTGTGTATTCCCAGTATCCTTTCTTACATGCTTACCATATTACTTGAAATAACCTTTTATATTTGGTTCCTGTCCAGTAGAATCTTAGCCAGAATCACATTTTTTTTTCATTTTTACATGTCCATGCCTAATGAGGTTCCTGTTGAATTTTATTGCGTGTGATTTTTCAATTTCCTTTCTAAATCCATATTAGATTGGTCTTGCTCAGAAAACCTATGACTCAATAGATGCCATAAATTTTATGCCAAAGCTTTATTTAGATTTTGATATATATTGTTTGTAATATATAATGTTCCGTGAGAACATGAAATAAAACTATAGGATATCATTTATTGTGCTGATTAAACTAAAGGTAGGTAGTCTTTATTATATAAATTTGAGGTCAGAAATAATGTAGCTCTCAAAAGTATGAAATATACATCTGAATAGTAGATTCCATACCAGAATATATCATGTGTTCTAGTACTAATGTAAATTCAGAAGAAGAAAGCATGCCTGACATTAATTTTTATTGAGATTTATGAACTCTTGATATTTTTAGTATCATTATCTAAAGCAGTATCATAATTTGGAAGGTGTGATAAAATTGAACATTGCAATGCAATTTGAAAAGTCAGACTTTTTAAATTACAGTAGCCATGAGCTCGATATAAATGATTAAGTATAATTTTCTATTTTAATTTTTTATTTTCTCCTATTATCTTACTATTAGGTGATTTTTAAAGTAGAACTATTTGGAATAAAATAAATTTTGTGCTTTAAATCTTTATTTAAACAAAGGTGGAATCATACTTTTCTAAAGTTTCTCATTGTGCAAACTATTTTCATTGACTATGTAGTGTGAATATCAAATGATTGTTGGGCATGATGAATTTAATTCATGTCTTTTCAGTGGACATGGATAGCATTTATGTAAAGAAAAAAGTGTATTTGTAATGTTTAACATTTTAAATAAGAATATTTTTATAAAACTTGATAAATAGGTACAAATTAGTTTTTCTTAGCCCTAAAATAGATGAGTTTAAATAAAATAATTACTGGATACTACTTTTGTCATATATGTGTGTATGAGAATAAACTAGTTTCCATATGAAAAAAAGGCATTTACTGCTCTGTTTTGATTAATTGTAACATTTCCCTAATCATTGAAATTATTTTAGTAAGATTGCCTAGTAAGGAGGGTTCTGTGCGATGTGAACCTAAAATATTTGTCAGAATCTTAAAAGAAGGTAATGTTAACAGATTAGGTTTTCGTTGTATCCTAAATACTTGTGTGTTGTTTTAACTTAGATTGTGTTTTTTTATATCCATCTTGTGATTTTTTATTGCTTCTACTTCACCAGTTTAGTACCATTGACATTTTTCTTCATTATAAAAGTTGAAATGGAGTAGATTATTTATGGAATTGTGATCAAAGAGCATTTATGAAAGTTAAGTGAGGTGGATTAGATCCTCTTTTAAGTATTCCATTTTAAGGGTTTATTTTCATAAATTAGTCAAGGGTTGGTGAGCTATAAAATTATTCTTTACTATATCATTGGAAATTTTTTGCTTTTTATTTAAGGAGATTAGCATGAAGGTTTATATATATTAGGCCTTGATTGTATTGCTTGATAAATTGTCTATTACTTTTCCTCACTACTTTGGATGAAACAAAAGCATATGTTATATCAATAATGATTTCAGAAAGTGGGGAGCATTCAATGAGTGCAGCTTGGGGGCTTTCTTGGAGAGCTTGTTTATTCACTAGTGTTCATATCAGTAATGCTGGTTTTTCTTACTATTTGTTTAAATGTGAGTAATCCTCTCATTACCACTCTGTATTCACTAAAAAGATATTGGTGATACTTCTCTGAATTTTAGATTTGTTGTGAAAATTAGATAAGTGAAACTTGAAGAAAATGTCCTGATTTAATTTTGCTGTTATTTTGAAATACTAATTTTGGAAGATTTTAGTAATACAATAAAGGAGAAATCATATCACTTAAATTTTAAATTATTTTTAGGATAACAACAAATGTGTTTATATGAATATCAACAGAGGTGGTTAAAATGAGTAAAAACCTAATGTTCATTGTTTTTAAGGTGACTTGATTTATATAACTTTAATTGTTGGGTATTTGTTTCTAAGATTCCCTCTAGTGTCCAAGCTAAAAAGTATCATTATATTAACAGGCTTTTAAAAATAGTACTACTGAGTTGAACAGATTTAAAAATATATAGAAGATAATATTTTTTCTTTAATTTTATTTTGCTTTTATATTTAGTTTGCTCTAATCGGTACATGACAAGAATTGACTATGTATAGATCTTGTATAATTTCAGTATTGCAGTTAAAAACTGTCCTGCTACTATATTCAGAGTGCCACTTTTCACGTAATGAATTATTAGATTGAAAATTATTCTGACCTAAAATCACTTTCCACCATTACTGATTTTGGTACATTGCTTTGATCACAAATAGATGTCAGCCAAAATGACCAAATATATATTTTTTTGAAGATACAGCATTTGGCTTTCTATGGCAAATTTTTGAATACCTAATATACCAAATAGAAACCAAATAAGTAAAATAGAATATTCTTTAAATTGGTAAATTATACCCCTATTTAAATGATTTCGCTCCTTTTCCATAAATCAGAGTATTACATTTTTCAAAGTAGTGTGTGTGTTGGGTCACTTTAAATTTCTTCCTTACATGATTAAGTAATAATTGAAACTAATGCCTTACTACAGTATATATTTTAAAACTGAAAGTATATTCAAATACTGTTTACTTCTCAGTAATTATCTAAATCTAACAGATTTAAACAAATATTGAACCAGAGCTCAAATATTATTACTGTGAATAATTATGAAAATATTATATACTTGCAGGCTTAATATTTAACATCTAGACACTCAGGGATAATTAAGTGTAAACACATTTTCAACACACGTACACATTTGGATTTTGGTTACCAAGGTGTGCTGATACGTAAAAATTAGTAGCAAATTAAGTTCTGGGAAAAAGCATTTGTGAAGCTTATGTAGGATTCTATGCCTTTGCTTTTCATTTCCTTTTGTTAAAATCAGTGTTTCCATTTATAACATTGACAAAATATCTATGAAGAAGACATTAAAAGAATGTTAAAGGTCTGATAAATACTCATTTGCCTATAGGTGTCCTCTCTCTCAGTATTAATGTTTTCATTAGTGATACACCTTTCCTGTTATCTGTACACCTCAAACCATCATATATATTCACATTGTAATACTTGTTTTATATTTCAGGGTGTTGATGATGCCTTCTATACATTAGTTCGAGAAATTCGAAAACATAAAGAAAAGATGAGCAAAGATGGTAAAAAGAAGAAAAAGAAGTCAAAGACAAAGTGTATAATTATGTAAATACAATTTGTACTTTTTTCTTAAGGTATACTTAAGTGATAATTTTTGTATATTACACTAAATTATTAGCATTTGTTTAACTTTAGCATTACCTAACTTTTTTTTTCTGCTCCATTCAAACTATTAGCTTTTATCTTGAATGCTTATTTTAAAATGACAGTGGAAACTTTTTTTTCTCTAAGTGCCAGTATTCCCTGAGTTTTGGTTTTTGAACTAGCAATGCCTGTGAAAAAGAAACTGAATACCTAAGATTTCTTTCTTGGGGTTTTTGGTGCATGCAGTTGATTACTTCCTATTTTTCTTACCAATTGTGAACTTCAATGTGAAACAAATTAATGAAGCTTTTAAACCCTCCCTATTCTGTGTTTTCACTAGTCACCTACATGGATTAATTACTAATTTTAACTTCAATTGAGATTTCATGATTGGTTTTGCCAGAACATTAAGGGAACACGAATTTCTGAGCTTCCTGTAGATTCATCTTGTAGCCATCATGTCCTGTAGTTTCAGTTGCCGTTACTTAATGTAAATGTACACTGTTCACAAAGGCTTTCTTCCTCTTTCACTGCTATTTGTCATAGTCATGTTCCCAAAAATAATATATTTTTTCTATAAAAGGGGAAAAAAGGAAAAAAAGACAAGGCAATGGAAAATATTAAAAGGCTATTTACTGTCCACATTAGATAAACTCCTATAATACTCTTAATAGCTTTTCCTGTTAATGCAGACCCAGTATGTAATGAGGATTCTAGCAACCATTTGGGGGTATATTTACATGCTACTAAATTTTTGTAATAATTTTAAAAAATTTTAACGTGTATAAAAATTCTCGTAGGAATTAAATATAGTCTCCCTGTGTCAGAGTGCTCTTTCCTACCATAACTTTCAATAAACCTTTTCTTGAACTTCAGTCTTTAAAAATAATTTTAATTCTGGTAGTGATATTAAAGATTATTTGAGTCAGTTAGAGTAGGTGTTAAAGAGACCAAGTTGAAGTCCAGGCCCTGTGTGAACCCCTGAGCTCCATTGTGAGTTTCACAGTATGGAGTGCATCCCTATGGTCTCCCCGTGTTGTCAAGCATTGGTTGGTCAAAAAATGGGGACTGGAAGAGATGTGGCTAGCTCAGCAAGATACGTTCTCACTATGTGGTGGTTCTGCTGACAGATCAGGAACATAACTTAAAAATAACAACAGAACTTAAATTATATGTATATATTTTAAATGAGGTTTGGGGGATGGGGCAAAACTTTAACTTTTTTAAATAATGAAGGGAAAAAGTTTCAAAGTCTCTAGTATTGTCTAGTTCTCTTAACATGCTAAAGTAACATTTCATAAACACTTTACAAGTCTGGTCCATTTTTGTTTAAAGAATAAGGTTTAAAAATAGATAAATTAACAAAATGATTCTTTCAGTGCATTTAAAATGTTGCTTATTTTAAGATATTTAAAGTGAGATGGTACATTTAAAGCAAGAGGTGAAAATATCATTGGACTAGGAGGAAGGTGACTTAGATTTTGGTGTCTTACAACTTTGATTTTGGGCAGATCACTTATCATTTCTTCATGTTAAAATAACTCATCTCAAGGCCATAGCTAGCCTTACAATTATGTGATTTACATTCAGTTTACATAAAAATATACCTGTTTGTCAATCTTGGCATAATTTTTACCTGTGTTATTATCTTCAATACCAGTTTTAGGCAATTATGCAAGAGGTGAAGTTCATTTTTGAATATCCTTTCTCCATATTCAAGACTTTTCCTCCCATATTAGTGTCATCTTGCCTGCCTACCCTTCTATATGGCCAATGACTTGATGCTTTTAATATATCTAATTCCCCCTAACCTCAAGATTTATTGCTGTTTTGGGTATCTCCTTGAAGGCTTCAGATCAAGTCACATCAGAATGCCTTACATCTTATTTGCTCAAGCTCAACATAATCTGACAGATACTACAGTGGGATTTGACCTAATGGCTAATTTTTGAGGTGGTTGTAGCAATTTAATCTTTAACCTTTGAATATCATGTTTGCTGACTGGTCCATTAGTGACTATGTAGGAATTTTCATACCTGCTATGAGTAGACAGAACCCTATCCAATGGAAGAAGAATTTAATAAAGGTAGTGCTGAAAGAATTCCTTAGATAATCTGTAATTAGGACTGTGCTGAAAGAATTCCTTAGATAATTTATCATTAGGATTAACTCTGGTAACAGTGACACATTGCATTGTTTTAATAACTAAAATCTTACAGTGAAAAATACTTCAAAATTTAATTTATAAAGCTTTTTAGCGTGGTTCATTTATTCAACATATTTGAGTGCCTTCTAAATGCCAGGCACTACACAAGGCACCGAGGATATTATGGTAAAAGGGACATAATCTTTATGCTAAAGTAGTCTTTATATTCTAGAGTGGTTTGTAATCTTTGTAAGGCGTTTGGCACATGACCCAGAAATAACCATGCATATTTTAGTTTTGTAGGGAAGGGAGTCGGTCTCTTGAAATTTCTTCCATTTTTGGAATAATTATTTTGCTCTGATTCCAGTGTAACTGTTTAATCAAGCTACTTTATATAAATCATTTTTCATTGTTTTAAAGGAGTAAGCTTGATTATATATTTTTATTTGGCATAATTGTGTGACTCTGTTGGGACAATTATAGTATACATTAAGTTGTATGTAATAATATTAAAATCCCCAAGTGTGTAATATTCTGGTTGGTCTCTTTGTGTAAGTAATTAAAATAGACTTTAAAATTAATAATGAATTCTGAAATAGCTATGTTTATTTAAGGACGATTAAACATATGCCTGAACTAATGGACAGAAAAGGACATTTCTGTGTAAAAATCATTACGATTTCTGGAATGGTTTGCTAAACTAAGGTTCATGGAATATTATCTAGGTGGAGTGTTAAGACTTATATAGAACCTCCTCTTGTTTCTACCCAAGATAAAGAAATGGCCATGCTTCAAGAATAGCAGTGCATAATTGAGTGAGGGGATTTTTTAGGACTCTTGAATTTTTGATGTAGCTGGGAAATTTTTTTTTAATGCAGTGGTAATTATCCTTTATTATCTAAATTTAGAATAAATTGACACAGGTTTGTTTTCATAGAGATTTTAAAAGAGGAAAGATGATCCTAGGAGTAACATAAATGTTATCTAATTATTACAGACTTAAGATAAAGTTGAAGTTGAAAAAATGCTAAATTATAGTCTTAAGACATAAACATGTTTGTGGAAGAATGTATCAGAAGTATATAGTAAAATTTGAATGAATATTCCCAATTGGGAATTCTAGGCTCTATTTTAACTGAGTCACACTGCATAGGAATTTAGAACCTAACTTTTATAGGTTATCAAAACCTTTGCCACCATCGCACAATTTTGTCCTAATATATAAAGAAATCTTGTGAGGCATGTTAAGTTGAAGTTTGCATAAGTTCATCTCATTTGTATTCCAGTTACTGTTTTTTCTTCTAGCCATTTTTCTACACATTGTTTTTGTAGGTAATAAAAGCTAGTATCATTTACATTTGTCCAAAAATAATACTTTCATAGTAATTATATATTGCTGATTTTTAAGAACCTAGCAGTTACTATAAAACTGAATTTAATAACTTCTCTGTTAATATTGGGTAGCATGAAATCTGCTTTGATAAATTGAACAGCATACAACTGGTAGCTGCAAATTCCTTCAGAAAATGAAATTATTTCTTTCTAAAGATATATTCTTAACCAGTTCTTAAAAAATAGTGATAACTAGATTAATACTTATTTTAGTTCAATAGTTTTAAGTGCCTGTTTGGGATGATGCTAGGTAATTTAGATGAATTTAGGGAAAACAAAATTATTACCTGCAGAAATGTCAGTTACAGAGATCGCCCCTCCCCATAGAGTTAAATGGGTAATGTAATGTTTTATCCAAAAGTTTCCAGTTCCACTGTCTTGTGTTTTCATGTTGAAAATACTTTTGCATTTTTCCTTTGAGTGCCAATTTCTTACTAGTACTATTTCTTAATGTAACATGTTTACCTGGAATGTATTTTAACTATTTTTGTATAGTGTAAACTGAAACATGCACATTTTGTACATTGTGCTTTTCTTGTGGGACATACGCAGTGTGATCCAGTTGTTTTCCATCATTCGTTTGCGCTGACCTAGGAATGTTGGTCATATCAAACATTACATTTAAAAATGACCACTCTTTTAATTAAAATTAACTTTTAAATGTTTATAGGAGTATGTGCTGTGAAGTGATCTGAAACTTGTAATATTTTTGTCATGAACTGTACTGCTCCTAATTATTGTAATGTAATAAAAATAGTTATGATGGCTATGCTAGTGTGTATTTTTAAAAAATATATATATTTTTATTGATTTCAGAGGAAGGGAGAGGGAGATATAGAAACATCAATGATGAGAGAGAATCATTGATTAGCTGCCTCTTGCACGCCCCCTACTAGGGATCAAGCCCACAACCCGGGCATGTGCCCTTGTCCAGAATTGAACCTGGGACCCTTCAGTCTTCAGGCTGACGATCTATCCACTGAACCAAACCAGCTAGGGCTAGTGTATTTCTTAACAGAAATTTGAGACATTTGCCCAACAATTGATATGGAATTGGAATAGTTCATAAGTCACAGATACTATAGTGTTTTAGTAAATCTTTTTTTGCAGCTTATAAGTTAGAAATATTTATGAAAGGTGCTGTGAACATTTTGTAAGGTGTGTTTGCTTAAGACCATCTTAGTTTTTTTACAATATATTTTTTATTGATTTCAGAGAGGAAGGGAGAGAGAGATAGAAACATCAATGATGAGAGAATCATTGATTGGCTGCCCCCTGCACACCCACTACTGGGGATGGAGCCCGCAACCTGACCCTTGGCCAAAATCGAACCTGGAACCCTTCAGTCCGCAGGCCAACGTTCTATCCACTGAGCCCATCTTAGTTTTAATTCCATTGCCATGTTAACTCATTTATAAGTAGATGAAAACAGATCTACCTTTATGACAAAAAAAATAACTTCATCACTTTTTATCAAAGAAGGTAATTGATACACAACAGGTGATTTATTTTAAGGTCCAAAGGAAGCTAGAAGCAAAATAATGGAGATATTGAATAGGTATGTATGTAATGCCAATCACTGGCAAGGTATTTCAAGTACAGAAGTAATCTTCATATGTATTATTTCTATAACTGCACTAAAATCATGACCAGGTGCTATTTGTTTTGTAGTGAACCTTGCTAATATACCAGATGGGGAAAAAAATAAGGTATTCCTTCAAAAATTAAAGACAATAAATGTAAAAGACATTATTTTGCCTAGTTTCATGTGAATTAAATAGCATTGTCAGTTAAATGGAAAAATGGACTAAGGATAATTGGCAAAAATCTATTAAGTTACAGTTGTTTTAAGTACATTATTTTTCATTTGAAATTAGGTACTCATTAATCTATAATTTGTAGTTGGCAACGTTGTGTTAGTATAAAATTGTGCATTAAGGGTTGCTGATAAAACACAGTATAAATATAAGTTAACCCTGTTTTAGCTCAGTTAAGGCAGCTTAAGTATTTTTTATATGTCATGTATATGTTGCCATTTTAAGTTAGAATTATTTTTATATTTATACATAAACAGCTGGCACTGGTTTTAGTGAAATTATAGTAATGATCAGTTAGTGTCTTTGGTATCTGAATAATAGCGCTGTTTCATAGCTCTGTATTTCCTAAGGAAATATAAGGCTTCTAGCTCTTTCATTACAAATTCACCCCGTGCAATCAGTTCTCTGATCTTCTCTGGGTCCTTCACATCTTTGTTTTTAAGGAAAACATTCTTCAGACGCCTTTTAAAATAGTCTGCTCCTTTTGGATAGTCTCGTCCAAGGTACAGCAGCTTAAAAAAGAAAGATTATATATTTCTAAACAATCCATGTCTAGGAACAACATTTATAAAGTTGGCAACGTAATTACTTACATTTTTATAAAGATTCAGTACTTCTCCTCTTAAAGAATTGGCCATTTTCATTTATGGAAAATATCCACTTATATATAGCATACCTAAAGAAAAAGAAAGTCTGTGGGTTTTGTTTTGTTTATGTTTTTTTTCCACATAACTGTATTGTAGTAAAAATGAAGAAAAACAGATTTTACATGGTGGGAAAATGCTTTTTTTTTTTTTTAACCCAATTAATATTTTGAGCATTTTTATGTTTCAGGCAATGGGATATACCTATGAACATTGGTCAGATAAGATACCTGCTTTCACAGAACAAACATCTCCTGGGGGAGACATAAAAAAACAAGATAATTATGAATTTTGACAAGTCCCATGAGGGAAATAGGATAATGAGAGAAAATGAATTGTCAAATATGTAGGTATACCTCCTTTTAATACCACAGTAGAATGAATTAGAACTAGATTGGCATGCCAGCTTTATAATGTATAGGTTACTTAACCTTTCTGAGCCTCAATTTCCTTATCATCAAAAGGAAAATTGTATTTTTTCTGCTCTTAAGGCAAGGTCAGATCTGTTTGGAGGACATTGAGAAGAGGCCTGGTCAAATGTAGAAGGGTGCTATCCTAAGAAAGGCCAAAAAGTAGGAGAAACTTGCTGTGTGAGTTGAGCAGGCTCACAATTAATGGTAGATGGGCAATAAGATTGGTGGTAAAGAGGCAAAATGAACAACTCATAAGGGGTTACATGAGCAGGCAACATCTAATGGGATAGATGATATCTCATGTATAATTGGTTAATGAACCAGGATATCCTAAACAGACAATAATTCCCAATACTTGTTATAATTGTGGGGATCCTATCTAATAAAAGAGAAACATGGTAATTAGCTGTACATCCGCTACCCTTCCCGTTGGCTAATCAGGGCGATATGCAAATTAACTGCCAGCCAAGATGGCGGCCGGCAGCCAGGCAGTTTGAAGCGAACATGAGGCTTGCTTGCTTCACTGACGGAGGACTCCAACGTTCCCCGCCTGCCGCTGCTGGCCTCTGAGCTTGCAGTTTGAAACATTGTTACAAATATGGAAGCTAAACAAAACCCCAGAAACCTGCTTTCAGCCTGCCGGGATCTCAGAGCTGGAGTTGATACAGTGTTTCGATTATAGAACCCAAACAAACCAGATACCTGCTTTCAGCAGCAGAGGCCTCAGAGCTGGAGATAGAGCTAAAGCTGGCCCAGAATAAAAAAGAAAAAAAGGAGCAGTTGGGAGCTTCAGTCACCCGCCAGCCTGAAAACAGCCCTCAGCCCCTCACCCAGACTGGCCAGGCACCCCAGTGGAAACCCCCACCCTGAAGGGTGTGTGACCAGCTGCAAACAGCCATCATCCCCTCACCCAGGCTAGCCAGGCACCCCAGTGGGGACCCCCACCCTGAAGGGTGTGTGACCAGCTGCAAACAGCCATCATCCCCTCACCCAGGCTGGCCAGGCACCCCAGTGGGGACCCCCACCCTGATCCAGGACACCCTTCAGGGCAAACCAGCCGGCCCCGACCCACGCACCAGGCCTCTATCCTATATAGTAAAAGGGTAATATGCCTCCCAGCACCAGGATCAGTGGAGCCGCGAGGCCTCCCAGCACTGGGATCAGCGGAGCCGAGAGGCCTCCCGGCACCAGAATCAGCGTGACGGGGCAGCGCCCAAACCCCCTGATCGCCCTGCAGCTCTGTGTGTGACAGGGGGCGGGGCCACAACCTCCCTATCCGCCCTGCTCTGTTCATGACAGGGGAAGGTGCCCCAACCCCCTGATCAGCCCTGCTTTGTACCTGATAGGGGGGAGCTCCCCAACCCCCTGATCGCCCTGCAGCTCTGTGTGTGACGGGGGGAGCTCCCCAACCCCCTGATCGGCCCTGCTCTGTGTGTGATAGGGTGCAGCGCCCCAACCCCCCCGCCCCCCCGGGCCCTGCTCTGTGTGTGACGGGGTAGAGCCATAACCTCCCCATCAGCCCGGCCCTGAGTGTGACAGTGGCGGCGCCCCAACCCCCTGATCGGCCCTGCTCTGTGGGTGATAGAGGGTGGCACCCCAACACCCCCCCCCAACGGGCCCCGCTCTGTGTGTGATGGGGTAGAGCCATCACCTCCCCATCGGCCCTGCCCTGAGTGTGACAGTGGCAGTGCTCCAACCCCCTGATTGGCCCTGCTCTGTGGGTGATAGAGGGCAGCCTGAAAACAGCCCTCAGCCCCCTGATCGGCCCTGCTCTGTGTGTGACGGGGCGGTGCCCCAACTCCCCTATCGGGCCTACTCTGTGAGTGACAGTGGGGAGCTCCCCAACCCCCTGATTGGCCCTACTCTGTGCGTGACAGGGGGGAGCTCCCCAACCCCCTGATTGACCCTGCTCTGTGCATGACAGGGTATGGAGCCCCAACCCCCTGATGGGCCCTGCTCTGTGCATGACAGGGGGCGGCGCCCCAACTCCCCAATCGGCCCTGCTCTGAGCCTGACCAGGGGCTGCACCTAGGGATTGGGCCTGCCCTCTGCCACTCGGGAGCGGGCCTAAGCCAGCAGGTCGTTATCTCCCGAGGGGTCCCAGACTGCGAGAGGGTACAGGCCGGGCTGAGAGACCCCCCCCCCTCCCCAGTGCACAAATTTTTGTGCACCAGGCCTCTAGTTAAATAATAAAATTCCTAACATAAATAGGCCCAAAGTAAATGTTAATGTCAGTTATTAACCTCCTCTAAAATTCTGTAATTCCAATTTTCCCAATGACCTATGAAAACAGTCCCTCATTAACAATTTTTATTTTGAAACTAGACCTTCCCCCAGCTGCTGGCACCGGCTTCCCTCTGGCACCTGGGATCCAGGTGTCCCTGTGGCTGCTGGCAGGCACCCGGAACCTGGGCTTTGTCTGGAAGGACATCCGGTCTAATTAGCATATTACACTTTTATTATTATAGATGAGACCCAGTGCATGAATTCGTGGCCGGGTTGGGTCCAGCTGGCCCAGCCCCAATTGGCGGATCCGGGCCGGGCCTGTCAGGAGGAGGAGATGGCGGGAGGTTGGCCAGCGGGCCCCGCCCCTGATGGGGGGGGGCCAACTGGGGGTGGGGTCGGCCATAGGGAAGGGCCATGGGCAGTGGGTGGGCTGGCTCCGCCCCTGATTGGTGTGGGGGGGGTGATCAGGGGTGGAACTGGCTGGGGGGAGGGGCTTTGGGCCCAATGGGGTGGTGTGGGCTGACCAGGGATGGGGCCAGCCATGGAGAGGGGCTGTGGGCGGTGGGCCAGCTGGCCACACCCCCGAATGGGCTGGGAGGGGCAAACAGGGGCCAGCGGCATGGGGGAGGGGCCATGGGTGGTTGGCCAGCCAGCCCTGCCCCTGATTGGAGATGGGAGGCTGATCAGGGGCAGAGCTGGCCAAGGGGAGGGGCCATGGGCCAAGTGGGGTGGTGAGGGCCCATCTTGGCGGGACTGGGTGGGGGGAGGGGCTACAGGAGGTTGGCTGGCAGGCCCCACCCCCTATTGGGGTAGGGAGAAACCAGGGGCGGGGCCGGCAGGGGCGGGGTTTGGTCAGCCAGCCTCACTCCCAGATCCACCTGGTTCGCTGGATGAAGTGGGCATCATAGCGATCAGTCGTTCCAGTGTTCTGGTTACTGGCTTTTTATATAGATACTAGAGGCCCGGTGCATGAATTTGTGCATGGATGAGGTCCCACAACCTGGCTGGAGATTGAAGTCCATTGGGGGGGCCCACCGGCCAGGGACCCTGGAAAGTTGGCCAGTCGGCCCCCCAATCAGGGCCTATCAGGGGGGCCGGCCAGCAGCAGGGAGAGGCCACGGGAGGTTGGCTGTGGGAGTGCACTGACCACCAGAGGGCAGCTCCTGCATTGAGTGTCTGCCCCCTGGTGGTCAGTGTGCATCATTGCGACTGGTCGACCAGTCGTTCCGGTCATTCGGTTGTAACGGTCACTTAAGCTTTTATATATATATAGGTAGACTATTGGCCTGGTGCACAAAATTCGTGCACAGGGGGAGTTGTCCTTCAGCCTGGCCTGCACCATCTCCAATCTGGGACCCCTCAGGGGATGTCCAACTGCCGGCAGTTGGACATCCCTCTCGCAATCTGGGACTGCTGGCTCCTAACTGCTCTCCTGCCTGCCTGCCTGATCACCCCTAACCACTCTTCCTGCTGGCCTGATCAACCCCAACAGCCCCCCCCCCCACCAGCCTGATCACCCCTAACTGCCCACCCCTGCCAGACTGATTGCCCCCAACTGCCCCCTCCCCCCCACCAGCCTGCTTCCCCCAAATGCCCCCCCATTGGCCTGCTTGCCCCCAACTGCAGCCCCCCTGCCAGCCTGCTCACCCCCAACTGTCCCATCACCCCCCTGCCAGCGTGTGTGCCCCCAACTGCCCCCCCACTGGCCTGCTTGCCCCCACCAGCCCCCCCCCCCCGCTGGCCTGCTCGCCCCCATCTGCCCCCCCTGCCGGCCTGCTCACCCCCAATTGCTCCCCCTGCTGGCCTGCTTGCACCCAACTGCCCTCCCCTGCCAGCCTGATCGCCCCTAACCGCCTCTACCTCGGCCCTGCCATCATGGCATTGTCCGGAAGGTCTCCGGTCTAATTAGCATATTACTCTTTTATTAGTATAGATGATTTCAACCTTGCAGGAAAGTTGCAACACACTACAAATATTTTTTCCAGAACTATTTGAGAAGTTACTAACATGCTGTTCCATCAGCCTGAATACTTTGCATAGCCATCCAATAGAAATATAAGAGGCACTTAGGTAATTTTACATTTTTTAGTAGTACATATCATAAAATAAAATCATTTAATAACATTCTTTATATTTAAAATATTATTTCAATGTATTACACTAGCTATATTTTAAGGGCTTACAGGTACCCAGGACTTAGTTGCTACCACACTGGACAGCACAGCTTTAGAGTGTATTGTCCATGAATAAGGACACTTCCTACAGAACAATACAATGATTGGCATCAGGAAGTTAACACTGCTCTATTACTCCCATTTGATCAACAACCCCTTCATGTTCTGGCACTTGTCCTAAAGATGCCCTTATTGCACTAGGTGCCCAGTGCACAAATCTATGCACCGTAAAAGGAACTGGGCCACAAGTCTGTGGTGGGCACAGGGGTGGGTTTTGGCCCATCTGCGCCCCTACCCAGCCCCTCCCACCACAGTCCCTGGTCCCCTGTCTGCTGTCAGCCCAGCTCCCACCGCCACCGCTCTCATGCACCAGCTCCGCTCACACCTGCTGACGGTACAGAGTGACTGGGGTCGGTGCCAGCAGTGGGGGCAAGTTGTGGCTGCTGCTCTGATTGCCCCTCAGAAGCAGGGGGAGGTGGAGAAGCCCTCAGGGGCTATCGGGCTGGCAGCTGCTGCTCGCATCCATTGACGGTGCTGAGTGATTGGGATCAGCACCGGGCGCCAACAGCAGGTGCGAGCGGCGGCTCCAGCACTGGCTGTGGGTGCGAGTGGCGGCTCCGGCACCGGCAGTGAGTGTGAGCGGGGCCATTGCCAGCAGCGGGTGCGAGAGGCGGCTGCCGGCCCCAATCGCCTCTCAGGAACAGGAGGAGGTGAAGAAGCCATGAGGGGTTATCAGGGCTGGCAGCTGCCACTCGTACCTGCTTATGGTGCTGAGCAATTGGGGCCAGCACTGGCAGTGCAAGCGGTGGCTCTGGCGCTGGCAGCGGGTGAGAACGGGGCCAGTGCCAGCAGCAGGTTGAGCACTGGGCGGGACCACAGCGCACGGGAGCAAAGAATTTTCAGTAACTACCAGAGGCTCATCCTAATGACAGCGACTGGCGCCCTGCCTTGGTCTGGGACCCCTGCTCTCCTCCATCATCCCGCCGCGGCTGACGCCCACCATGTTCTGCGCTCAGCTGCCTGCTGCCGATGCCCTCCATGTTCTGTGCATGCCCCCTTGTGGTCAGCACACGTCATAGCGACTGGTTGTTTGGTTGTTCAGTTGTTCAGCTCTTTGGTCTATTTGCATATTAGGGTTTTATATATAGAGATAACAAAAAGATCGAATCCAAGATTACACATTGCCCATGTATTTTGTAGAATGTGTCTCATTGTGATGTTAACTCATGGCTAGATTAAGGTTATGTAGTTTGGGCAAACATATTACAGACATGTTGGTTTGTTCATTTTATTGTATCTTATCAGGTGGACACAGTTCCAATTTGTTTATTATGATTGATGTTAATTTTGATCACTAGATTAAGGTTTGGATTATCTGTAAAGTTACTCCCACTGGTTTGAAGTTAGTAAGCATTTTGTGAGAAGTACTTTGAGATTACATATACATATTCCTGAAAAACCTTTCATGTTGCAAAAACATTAAAAATAACAGGGTTTTGGAGGGAAATAGGTTTGGGACAGACAACTCAAATCCTATGCAACTAAACAACTAATAAACAGAAACTGGTACTTGCAGAGTTAATTTGGATCACCTGAGTTTCTCTGAGCCTAGCTGGAGACTCACAGAGATGTTTAAACTGCTAAAAATAACAGAGTTAGGGGCTGGAGACGAAGAAAGGATCAAAAGAGGCAGGAGGAAGTCTTTGGGGATGATGGATATTTATCATGATTGTGGTGATGATTTCATAAGTTTATGTATATGTTTGGTTTATCAAATTGTATTTATATTTTAAATAAATGTAGTTTATTCTATCTCAATTATACCTCAGTAAAACTTTTTAAATGCTAAAAGTAGGGCTGGTAGAAATTGAGGTACCATGGAAGTAGAGAGCTATACAGCGGTCGCCAACTGGTGGTCCGTGAGCTCCGAAAGGTTGGCGACAGCTGGTTTAAGGAAACCTTTGGACTTGACACTTAGTGGTCAGAGTAGGTGGTCCAGTCTGCCACCAATCAGTAGTTGCATACAGTGGAGTACGCTTCTCTGGAGAAGGAGCCCTGAGTGTAAGCACCTGTTTAAAAATTTTAAAAAATATACCTGAACGACTCCTGCTGATAGTAGAGCAACTAAGTGAAGACTTTCATTTTATGCTGAAGTTCATAAATCACATAGGAACCAACATTACTTCCATGTTAAAACTTGTATAATCCTCTTCTTTACTAGTTCATGAACTAATTCACATAACAAGCATACAATGTAACAAAACAATTTCTATTCCTTTGAGTTCATTACTGTTAGTTTACTCTCAATTTCTGTTGTTTTCCTTCAAGTTGCTTCCCCCCCTCCCCCCCGGCTTGCTTTTGCTGCATCACTTCTGAGCTTTCCTCCAAAGACTGGTAACCTTTTCTGGCTATTCTTAGAAGTAAAAGGCCAAAAAATGCATTTTAGAATATCTGCATACATGGTTGCAACTTACTTTGACCTTTACCTAGGGAGGATTTGAGTGGGCCCTTTATTGGGGAACCGCTCATGTCGATCTTAGCTCTTTCCTCTTGGGCTGGTCAGATTCCCCAAAGAAGTATCTTCCAATCTTCTGAGGATTTGCCTATTCAGTATTAACAGGGGCCTTGCATTCAGTACTATGTATGCCCACATTCACTTCATTTCTTTTCACTGTAGTTCTCGTGTACTTAGTATGCCTAAAGACACCCCAGTTCAGATTTTGTCCATAAATAAACCTCCAGTCTTCTATGGGAGTGAGAGGGCACAGTCACTTGGAGTTGTTTCTCACATAGCTTTCAGTTAATCCTCTTTGCTTCATTTTTCAATTCCAATTCCAATGGCCCTGTTCCAGTGCCTTTTGAGAATGATGCAGTATAAATGGAGCTCTTCTGGTGTGCTAAGTCAGTCACCTGTTCCGCAGCTTCAAAGTCTTATTGCCATCTCCCCCCTCTAATTTTTCCAATTTATTTTTATGGCCCTTTTAATGAAAATTTAGTGGAGTTTTGGAAGGGAGTGAAATTAGATGGGTGTATATAACCCGCTATATCAATACCTAATTTCATTTAAAAAAATGTTTCTTGTTTGGCTGAGAACCATTTTCCAATGTGGTTTAACCTTATTGAAGAATGGCTCTTAAAACCATGTGCTTTTAAAATAATTCTAAATTCAATCTACATAGGTATAATTTCAAACTGCAAATGATTGCCTGTTTTATTCCTGGGAAAGGGCATAGTTATATTTAATTCACAATCTGTAAATCTGTGAAAGCTTTTAGAGATATGGCTTAAATTGTCCTTTTCAGCTGTTGTTCTTTTTATAAATTAGTAAAGGATTTTCCCAGCAAAAAAAGTAGCTGATATGACTAAGGTAAATTTTCCCCATTCTTTGCTATGTTAATTTAAACAGATTAAGGCAGTGTATCTTTATTATTGTACACTGACATTGAGGCATTTACATGTATTTTAGTTTTGGGGAAAAATTGGTCTCCCTGGGTTTGCAATTGGTGCACAGTTTAAGTGCAGCAGGGACCTGGGACTGCTCCTTAACCTTGCAGCAAGTATGGTGGTTTCTGTTCTTTGTAAAGAGCCAGATGAGTGAGGGATGAAAAGAAGTCCCCCTGTATTCTGAGAATGCAGATGTGCGTAGTAGGCAAAGGCTTCGGGTAACAATCCCCGCTGACAGCTTTTCTAGTGACTGGGCTAAGAAGCTAAGACTTAATCATTAACTCCAGTCCTGGGGTTAAGTAAGAATTGTCATTTTACTGGGGATTATGGCACTCAAAGCTGTTGTTAATCACGCTTCCCCATACAGTTCAGATGGCAATAAGAGCTGAAAGAAAGCTGGCAAAGAGGGCAATGCAATCTTATTATTTACTGGGCTCTGGTAGACTTGACTCAAATAGACGAAGCACGTATCCCCAAAGTAGTTAAACCTAAAAAGCTTCCCACAAAAACCTTATTCCAACACAACTGCCAGCACTGAAGGCTATGTAATCAGGGAGGTTGGTGGCAAGAGATGTTGCTCCCCAAGGCTGGCATACAGCTTGGTCTAGCCCAGTGGTCGGCAAACTCATTAGTCAGCAGAGCCAAATAGCAACAGTACAACGATTGAAATTTCTTTTGAGAGCCAAAGTTTTTAAACTTAAACTATATAGGTAGGTACATTGTTATTAACTTAATTAGGGTACTCCTAAGGCTTAGGAAGAGCCACACTCAAGGGGCCAAAGAGCTGCATGTGGCTCGTGAGCCGCAGTTTGCCGACCACGGGTCTAGTCCGACCTAGAAGCCAGATGATGTAAGTGAGTTGAAAGGAGACGGTTATGTATGTTCAGAACGGGTAGGCATTCCGCCTGTCTGAAGGAAAGAGGAACACTTTCTGACTCTTACGCAGCTTGCAAGAGAAGTACTGGAGGAGAACCAAGCTCACTGGCATAAGCTCTTACAGCGCGGTGACCCCTAGAACACAGTCCAGCTTGTCCTGTCACATCCATAGCAATTCCTGGGGGGGGGTGGGGGGGGGGCGGGGAGGTTGGTAAGAGTGAGAGTTTGAGCAAGTCCTCTCCCTGGAGGCCCACCCTTCTAAGGTAATTTGGAATTATCACCTCCTTTCCCCAATCAGTCCTAGTTGAGTGGACTGAGGTTTTGTACCATAAAAAGTCGTTTGGTTGAAAAACAATTTAAAACAAAAGCTTACTTCCATTCCAAACGGCTTCGGAAGTAGACAAAGTCAACATTTATATGTTCATCTTACTACCGGGGATTTGGAGGGGGATGTCAACCATTCCACAACCTGGATTTCTCTTACAAGGAGGAGAACACTGTAACCCACAAAGACTAGCTCAGTAATATTTATTAATACATTTAATCAGTGACGTTCGTCTGGAGGCCAACGTTGGTCAAGTTACACAAGCCTGCCCAGAGTATTATAAAATTAGAATTCAGAGATGAGAAATGGTGTCAACAATTTTAAAGTATTTCATGCCATGTTATGCTAAAACAGGGTTTGGGGTCCTAAAATCATGGAGAATTCAGCGAGGCTTTGGAAGGCACTTAATTTCTTATATCACTTAATTCTAGTTTTCTGTGGGTCTGAGTTGTCAGTGTCTCTTCATGTGGGGAGGAGTCACATTCTGAAGGTTGTGCTAGCGTTATCACAATTTTTGACCTTGGGCAAATAACGTAATGGCCCTGGCTGGGCTTCAGCGACCTTCATCTGTAAGAAATAAGTTCACCCAGGAATTGTTTCAGATCCTTCCCAGTGCTTGTTTACAGAGGCTCTTAGAAAAAAACGACACACACCTTGCACGGGAAATAAACAGAACCAGATGCAGGAAGAAGAATCCGAAGGTCATGCATTTAAAAATAACGAAGCCACTCGGGGCCAAGCCACCTCTTGTCTAAATGGCCGCACCCGCTGGCCTAAGCTGTGGGGACCCGGGCAGCTGGGCAGCAGCCGGCCTGGGTAGCTGGGGTGGCCCCTGTCCTCCTGGAGGCCCTGACACACATTCGCCCAGCACGCTCCGGGGACAGAGGGAGGGGGGAGACCCGCAACGGCGGCGGCGCTCGGACACTTTCCCACGCCCGCAGCACATCCTCGCCCGGAGCGGAGCGTAACTTCCCCGCCTCCAGACCCCAGGTCCGCAAAGCACAAGGAAGCACCCGGGAGCTGCACTCACGCACTTTCCGGCGCGCCGCAGCCGTAAAGCTTCGCACCGCTTCCACTGTGCGTCTGTCACCCACGCAGCGCCGAGGGCGTGCGGGCGAGCTGTCACGGAGGGGGCGGGGCGCCGGCCGGAAGGACGCAGCGCGACTGCGCGGACCGTGCGGCCGAAAGCGCTGTTTCCCTGGGGCGTCAGTGGGCGGGGCTTGTCGTCCTGACAACCCCAGAGCGTTTAGTCCGCACAGCTCGGCTTCCCCTCTTGCAGACGCACCGCGGAGGTCGTGCTTCACTGAGCATGGTGAGCGGGGATGCGGGGGAACCAGGCGAAGGGGCGAGCACTGATTCTCCTTCCCCGGTGTTCAGTGATGATAAGAGCCCGACTTACGTTCGAGGGGAGCAAGTCGGCTTAGGAAAGAACCCCTAGCGCTGTTGGGGAACGGCCTCCTCTCCATCCGTGGTTTTCCCGTCCGTCACCCGCGGACAGCTCAGAGGGGGCCCTAATCTCACACTGTTGCATGGTTTAAAACGTGGCCTCAGCCGAGTGAACATACTGATGTTTGACTCAAGGTGCGCAGCCTGCCCTGAATTTATTAGGAGAAAGCCTCTCGTTGTTGTGTCTTTCCTTACACTCCTCAGCTGTCTTCTCCAAGAACAGAGGCCAACATATAGCAATGAGATAATATCTTTCCCCATTTTTCTTACATGTGCTTTCCGTCTTCTATGACTGAAATCAGAGGAAGTGGGAATGTAATTAGTTAATTATTTAAAAATTATCCGAAAATATGAAGTTCATTCTTTGTACTTATGCCCTCTGAACTTTGGGCACTACTCGCTAACTGATGCTCTTACGATTTGCAGGGAGGTGAGGATATGTGTTTATCCCAAACCTGCTTCACATTAAAAGCACTAGTGAGGGATGACAATTTGCCCATCTTTAAAATATGGCTACTTGAGGGCAGGGGCAATGCTATTTATATAGTCTGCTGTATAGTACTTATTTCAAAATGAAAGTATGCTAACTGTTGATAGCAAATATGATAATAAAAATGGAGCCCGTTTGCAAAAGTTATGTGAGAGCGTATTCCTCGTGATATCATCTCCAGCATTTTAGAGTGTCATGTATAAATCATTAATAAATGTGCACTTTTCAAGAATGTATAATCTGCTTTGTGCCATTTTTAACATTTATATTTTATACTGTGATAATCTTATGGCTTGAACCAGTAATTTGCCCTGTGTAAGTGTTCACATATGGAAAGTTTATAATCTTATAGTCATGTGATCTCCTACAAATTCCTTGCCAGAAATCTAATGGACACATGGGCCTGATCAGGAAATTACAAATAGTGTAACAGAAAAATACTTCTAATTATTTATTGAAATACTTTGCTTTCCAAAATAATTTCCACATATTGCTGAATTCTGATTCTCTTTCTTATAAAAGCAATCATTTCACAGAAAGATTTTTCTATGAGATCATTCCTACACTTTCAAACTGGAATTAGTATCAACACTCAATGACTTACTGTTCTTTGGAACCCTTTAAACTAGTTCCTTTCTGACTGGTACTCTGGTTAGTGATAGGGCATTTGATTAAACATGGATCATTGAATGATTGTATTAAGAAAGAGTGTAAAATTTACTTATAAAAGATGCTTCACCAAGTGAACTATTTTAGTTTTTCCTAGACTTGCTTCTAGTCTTGTCTGAATTCTTTTTTAAAAGACTTTTGAGGTAATTTTAGATGTACAAAAAAGTTGCAAAGATGGTACAGAGACTTCCCTGATATTCTTTACCCAGCTTTTCCTAATTTTAGCATGTTACATAATCAGGGCACTTTTGTTAAAAGTATTTGATATTTCAAAAAATTTATCAATTCTTTTCTTTTTCCAAATTTTAGAGTACCAAAGCAAAGAAGGTAGGTAGAAATTTTCTCATCACAGTTTTATAATTACTGGCATTGTACAAACAGAATATTAAAACATTTTTAGTTAGTTTTCTTATAGTTTATAGAATTTGGTAAGCTTACTTTGTAGACATTAATGCTGTTTAAATCATGAGGTTAATCCATTCATCACTTCACATAATTACCATTGTGTGTGTGTGTGTGTGTGTGTGTGTGTGTGTCTATGTGGGTGGTAAGAACATTTGAGATCTACTGCCTTGGCAGCTTTCAAGTATACAATACAGTGTTATTAACTATAGTCACCACATTAGATCCCCAGAACTTACTCATTTCATAACTGAAATTTATACCCACTGACCAGCATCTGCCCATTTCCTCCATCCCTCCACCTCTGGCAATCACCAATTTACTCTCTGTTTCTATGAGTTTGGCTTTTTTAGATTTTACATCTAAGTGAGATCATACAGTTTCTCTGATTTAATTCACATAACATAATGCCCTCAAGGTTTACCCATATTAATGCAAATAGCAAGATTTTGTTCTTTTTTATGGCTGAATAATATTCTATTGTATATTTTCTTTTTCCTTATCTAGTCATCTGTGGATAGACACTTAGATGGTTTCATGTCTTGGGTATTTTGAATAATGTTGCAATGAACATGGGGATGCAGGTATCTCTTCAAGAAAGTGATTTCATTACATAAAGTTTACATTCTATCTGGGGATGGGAGGTGATGAAATAATATAAACCTATACAATAAAAGGCTAATATGCAAATTAACTGAATGGTGGAACGACTGGTTGCTATGATGCGCACTGACCACCAGGGGGCAGATGCTCAATGCAGGAGCTGCCCCCTAGTGGCCAGTGCACTCCCACAGGGAGAACACTGCTCAGCCAGAAGCTGAGCTCATGGCTGGCGAGCGCAGTGGTGGTGGCAGGAGCCTCTCCCATCACCGAGGCAGCACTAAGGATGTCCAGCTGATGGCTTAGGCCTACTCCCTGCAAGAGGCTCCCGGACTGCCAGAGGGAACAGGTCAGGCTGAGGGCCTCCACCCACCCCCGTGAGTGCATGAATTTCATGCACCAGCCCTCTAGTTTTAAATAACTTGGAATATGCAGAAAACCAAGGAAGGTTGCAGTGAGAAATGTGTGGTAGAGGATAGTGCTGTTACATATAGGGTGATTAAGGAAGTGAAATTTGAGAAGAGACCTGTATGAAGTAAGAAAGTCAATAATTAGCTGGCATATGACCACTTTAGACTGAAGAAAACAGTTATTGCGAAGTTGGCAGTGACCTTGTGAGAATACCGGAGTGGTTAGAATAGAGTGAGAGAGGTAGAAAGTGAAAGATAAAATATGGGGTGTGGTGGAGGAGATAACAGGAGACAGTTCATGGCCAAGTAGACCAAGATGAGATGTTTGGGTTTTTATTCTTAGGGTAATGGATAGCCCGAGAAAGTTGTAAACTGAAGAGTGACATGATATGATTTACATTTTTTAAAGGGTCAGTGGAAAATTCACTCTAGGGAAGCAAGAGTACCAGTAGGAGGACGAGTTGGGAAGCTGTTGCAGCAGTCTAGATCCAAGTCTTCGCACTGAAATAAATCAAAGTCTAGAAGTAAAGAGGACCCTTAGAGATACACAAAGGTTTTCTAGGGAGACAATGACACAGAGAAGTTTATGGATATCAATTTCCAGATAATCAACTTCCATATTGATCTTTTCCTGGGGAAAATATACAGTTTCAAAGTCCTGCCTTTTGCTATTACACTCTCCCCTTTCACAATTACCCTTTTGCTTTTCAAAACAAAGGCATATCTCTCAATCATTCTAATCTTACCCTCAGGCCTGGGCAATGAAACTAATGGATGATCCAAAACATTTATTCTGGCAAACCTTTCTTTAGTCATGGCACCAAGGACTTCTTGTTTTGTCTTGTAAGTGCTGAAATGTGGCATTAGAAGTTTTGAGATATTCTGTATTTCTTATATATTGTAGTGTGGAGTGGTGGGACTGGTAATAATTTTTGTTTAGTGACATCACCCATATTGTCAAACAATGATGCACAAAAAAACTATCACAATGTAATTCATTAATAAAACATCTAAACTCCAAAAATAACAATTTTTAAGAATAATTCTTTATTGTTGAAAGTATTACATAGGTTGTCCTTTCCTCCCCCATTGACCCCCTCCAGCCTGCCCCGGCCCCCGAACCCAGGCCTTTAGCACCCTATTGTCTGTGTCCATGGGTTATGCATATATGCATACTAGGTCTCAAAAATAACAGTTTTTTTAATGAAAAAAGACCGAATATCAGTAAGCATGTAAATGAGCTTAATAGTTTTACATAGACCTTAAAGTCGTTTTTGAAACTTCATACAACTTGAATTAGTATTACTCATTTCAAAAGCTAGGAAATTGTACAGGACTATAGAAAAGGTTAGAATATCAGGTGCATTGTTGAAAGATCCACCACTACCTTTACATCAATATGTTGTTTTTTTCCCCAAAAAACCACTGCACTTCATAGAATACATGAAATAGCAGAAGACTTTAAGTAGATTGTAGGAGAAAATTGCCTTACAGATTGATGAATACATAGATGATTCCTGTCATTCCAGTTAATTTATAATTGCTCTCCCAGTGAAGAAAATATTAAGAAATGTTGATATTTGAATTATTTTTAGGAATACAACTTGTGAAGAGACTTTACAGAGCTTGGTTTATTTTTATTAGAATTCATTTTATTTGAATAGACTGAGAATAGTAACGAAAAACCTTCAGGTATGGAACTGTACTTTAAATCCTATTGTCATTTAGGACTACAATATTCACAAACAAGCTTTGTTTGCCTAAAATTTTCTTGTGGAGCGCGAGTGACAGAATGACCAGGACTCCAGACTGATTAAAATATGGAGAGCCTTTATTGACTGGCCAGTGTCCGCTCCTCCACGCGGGACGCCCAAGAGAGAAGCGGCCACGACCATCTGCAGAGGCCAATATTTAAAGGGGACAACTACATCCGTGTTCAGGTTCCCATAGCAAGCAAAGCCAAGTTACAAAAGCTCATGCTCGTTGCGTAGTTTTAGCCAAGCTGTTCATCATCCTCCTGCTACTCATTTCTGGGTCACTTGAAGGTCAGGACTGTTCTTAATTGTGATCTGTCTGTGCTTTGTGGGCTGTTGGTCAGGTGTGTG